ACATTCCTGGCCTGGAAAATAACTTCAGAGGCACACAGGTTAAGCTATATTAACAGGATAGGCAAGAATTGTCATACTGCCTGGAGATGAATTCGTCAGGATTACAAAGATGATGCATGACCACCTAGTCCATTTTTAGCAGAGATTTTGAAATCTAGGAAACAAGAGTGGGAGGCTGAGATGGTAGTGAAAAACACCCTGGACAATGGGATGTGGAAGGAGACAAGTCCTAACTTGTATTCCTTCTTACAGAAGAGTGACAGCATTGATTCATACAGTCCAACCACAAGACCACTAAGACCAGCAACTCTCAACTCTGTTTTGCCAGCTACCCTACAAACTGCAGCTCTCCATATTCTACAATACTGTTGCTACAGGCTGCATCTGTGCCACCAGGGATGTCTTCTAGGAAGTCTATGGCCAGTCTCTTTCTTTTTAAACACACACAGTCTCTAGTGCCAAAAAGCTGCGAAATGCCCCTAGAAACAGAGATAACCCCCATAAACCTGGATGGGGCAATTGGCAGAGCAGGAGATGAGTAACAGGAGGGGACTCAAGGCAGAATCCACAAGAATGGGAGAAAAAAAGAGCAGCTCCTCTCCTTGTTTGCCTTCTGCGGAAGACCAGTGACCCACAGCAAAGTCCCTCTGCCTGCAAAGGTAGATCAATACTGCTCCACTCAAAGTGGAATCCGCAGTATCACAAAGCCCAGCAAGGTTCCTTACATCCTACTGCTACCTCAGGGAACTCTAGGAGGTACAACAGAAACTGATACACATGGACCTATGCCCCAAAAGGCCTGCTCCTCCCTGCCTGCCTCTTTCTGTCTCACTCTCCCTCTGTCTCTTGAAAAGATACCAGCATTCAAGATACCAGCAGCAGCAACAGAGGAACACAAAACAACAATGCTGGAGAGATGCCTTCTCTCTTTGATCACAGAATCATAGAATGGTTTGGGGTGGAAAGGACCTTAAAGATCATCTAGTTCCAACCCCTCTGCCACAGGCAGGGACACCTTCCACTAGATCAGGTTGCTCAGATTGATGTATTGTCCTCTGTCTTTGCATTCATGTATATGGTTGTAGAACAAATTTTTATTTTTGGTGATTAATCCCACAGTTTGCCCCAACTCTTAGGTGGCTGCACTGCTTGAATTAGAACATCACAGCATGGAGGAGAATGAGCCAACAAGAAACATGGGAGAACACCACAGGTGCTTCTAGAGGCAGGACTTGGAGTTTAAAAAAAAGGGATGATGGTGGGGAAAATAATGAGGGAAGGTCCCTTCTGTTAGCCAGAGAAGATGGGACCTAAAAAGGGATCAGATGCCATCTAAGGGCCATGAAGAAGAGATTCTCCTGGGTTAGTGAGCATTTTCCAAAGGAAGCTAGCAAACAGCTAGAGGGCCCTTCCACTTTAGTCAAAATACTTAAGTATCACTAAGCATATGGTGGTCTATTTTTAAGCTTTATGAACACATATGCGGGCAAGTAGAAGAAATAATTTGATTTCATGATGAACCTGAGGTCATTACACATACTGCTCAGGAAATGATCTGCTCATGTGCAGTGACTCTAACCTACAGGTCCATAACCCAGTCCTTCAGCGTAAAGCTACTGCAGTCTCCTCAGCACAGCTACAGGAGGTCCTGCTTTAATCCTTTATGGCCCAAGTAGAAAGTCACATTGACATAATAGACTAAATGGAAGCTGTGGATATTTAGGTTAGGTGTCAGGGAAGAAAATCCTTTCATATTGGCAAAGACAGCAAAACAACCTGGAACAGATTGCCTAAGGCGACGTGAAGACTAGACAGGTATCTGCTGGGCATGGCCGTGACTCTGGTCAGGAGGATAGGTGAGTCTCTTTCAGTCAGGTTTTCTACTACCCAATGAGTGACAAAAACAGCAGATGCAAACACTTTTAAACAGCCTCTCCCCTCAAGCCAGAGGAAGTGTGATTTCTTGATTTCTCTTGTTCCCTCTTTCATTCTTTCTCAAGGTTCATATGTTTAGGAGAAGAAATTGTACTTTAAATCTGCCCCGTGAATGAAGGTACATTTGCAAAGCTCTAAAAACCCACCTGAAGAGCCTGTTAGTCACACAGATCTGAGTGTGGATGTTTGCCCAATTGCACATCTGCTCAACAGAGCACGCAGGATTATCTACAACGGTGTTCCCTGACCTGTGATGATGGGGGTCTGTAAATCATCAGGTGGTCCATGGGCCCATAGCACACGCATGACCAAGCAAATACACATGCACTGAACACTGTGCTAGCATTTTGCTGGTGGTGCAAAAGGGAACTCCAGGACTGGATGGTAATCTGGAGCAGACAGGCAGGGTTTCATTGGAGGTGACCGTTTCGTGATATACTTTGTGGACCACACAACTCTAGACAATTTAGGAGATCTGGAGATCCTGTCTGGACTCCCTTCCTGTTTCCTAGCACAGAAAGACAAGAAACTGAAGGCTGCAGAAGTTAACAACTAGGTGAACAGCACAGGGGACAGACATCAGGTTTGTGAGTCATGTTGTAAAGAGAAAGTGACCTCTTGGTAGGGAACAAATGCACGCTCTGTACGCCAGGCTGGCTACATGAGTCTTATTAAATAAGCAACTAAAAGCACATTCAGCACAGAACTGTGATATCAAGCACAACATCAACCAAAGCAGAGGCTGTAAGAAGAAGACTCTCTTCAGTTGCCTATATGCTAACTACAGGCATCTGAAAAAATGGACAATCTCTCTGCTTGCAGGGTAGCAATGCAAAATAATACTCTGGAAAACTAATAGCTACATTTAGACTATTAGAATAGTAAAAGAAATAGTTGTAACCAATTTAAGAAGTCCAAATGGAAGAAGGGAGTTGACAGGCACTATATGGCAAAAATGGTGTCTGAGTGCCTGACAACTTGGAAGTAAGTAATCTTGGATATTTATGAACCAAGATACACTCAAGATGGGGTATGAGTTAGTATCTGTTACAGACCATTCGAATCACTGCAGAGCACAGGATGACCAGTGTCTTCAACACCTATATATATACAAGTATAAAAAAAACCCTTGTGTTATCTCAGGGCCATTCAATCTGAACAACTTATGCTGGAGATCTTCTGTCACTGGACTAAAACACATCCAGACTTTCCAAAAGGCTATGAATGACAAGTTACTGACTCCTAGTTTAAAGGAAAGATCAGCCTTCCTAACCCTGTGAACTAAAGCTCTTGCCAATTAGCTAAATGAGTCATATACAGTACAGGCCCTGCAGCATCAAAGCGAATGGAGAATTCAGGAGCAGTTCACAGCATGATGACCACAACATGAAGAACTTGTGGGACAAAGCTAAACTTCACCACACACAGCTAAAAACCCACAGTGGTCTCACTACCACAACAGGCGATGTAGGACCTGGTGGCTTGCTCACTTCACAGCCAGGGACAGCAGCAGGCAGGAGCCATGGTGCCGGCACAAGAACAACATACTGCTGCTCGTATGATGTAGCTACACCTGAAGTCATATGTGGTTTAGAAGAGGAGCCAGACAATCCCTGCTCTAGACTTTCTCAGTAGGGAGGAAATGATCACAAATCAGAAGGTGAATGGTTGTTTAGACTGAAAAGGACCGACACTTTCTGTGCAAATAACTAATGTTTTCTGCCATCAGATCTGGACTAGTAAAATTCTATGCAACATATGAACATACACTCTTCATATATACACAAATTAAAATCACAGCGCATGCTTTCTGAGAGGCAAGTTCATAAAACTGTAGTGAATGGGAGTCAAATCAGGCTGAAAACAGAACATACAGAAAGCTGCTGACATCTGTGAAGGGTTTAAGACATTTCCTAAATGCCTACAATGTTACAACTATGAAGACTGGGCTAGACAAAAATAACACACGATGAACAAACCCAACAGCTGGGTTTACCAAGGAAGTGAAAAAACGTATAAAATGTTATATACAAAACCAACACATGAAGGGGGAAAGGCGACAAGATAATAATGAGTGAAAAGCTAAAATAAAGATTATACAGAGGAAGCAAGAAGATATTAGGAAAAATTAAGGCAGACAGAATCAGATATATAATTTTTAATTTTTCTAAGCAGATTATGAAAGATGAATCCAGAATAAGTCATGGTTATTATCATTATTATAAATTATTATTATCATCATTATTATAATTATTGTGAAGCAGATCATGATCTGCTGCATCTGAAGCAGTTCTGAGCCCCTGGGGAAGGACCAGGGGCAGGAGGAAGGCTCATGTTGGGCCACTGTTTAAGAAGGAAAAAAAGTAATTGCAGGCCAGTTGGCTGAGTTTCCAGTATTTTGCATAGGATAGAACAACTATCATAGGACTCAATTAATAAAATCTTAAAAAAAAAAAGCTCTGTAGTTAAAGTCAGTCAGCTCGGCTTTAAGGAAAACAGATCCTGACAAACTAATCTGATGTAATTTCATGTAAAAATTACAAGTTCACTTGACGAAGGCACCATTGCTGACAGTATTACAAGTCTAAGTCGTTTGACTTGTTCTTTAGAACATCTTCATGAAGAAACTGAATGCTTTGAAGCCTGTGTGGAGTATGCTCCATCTGTACATGGAGAGCAGGACTCCGTAGACAGGGAGCACTGTATGAGGTCAGGCAAAAATCTCAAACCTATTTTATACTGAAGTAACTTCTGAGTTCACAATCATATCAAATGAAGGAAGCCAAAGTGTAACTGTAAATGGGAAACTACTTATTAACAAACAGATGGGATCCTGTTGGGTTCCCACAGGTATTGGTGATCATCCCTTTACCATTTAATAGCTTTACCAGTGACCTGGAAAGTCAAGTCCTTACAGGTAGATACAGCAAAAAACAAATAACAGAAGGACAAACCTGACACAGAGCAACTGGGGTCTGTAGAAAGATGGGAGAAATCAGTTTAGGTGTTAATATGGCCAAGTGTAGAATCACCTTATTAGAATAAAGAATACAGGCTGTACTTACAGGATGAGAGGGAGAGAGAGGACTCTGTCCTCTGAAGCAGAGACTGAATATGAGACTGAGGGTCCTAGGACGCAATCAGCTCGACATGAATTCCCACGCAAGGCTGTGGCCAAAAGGGCTAATGTGAACCTCAGCTGTACAAACAAATGAAAATCAAAATATGAGTAGGTAGGTTACAGTGATGCTGTATTTGGCTGTTGTTCCTCTGCTCCGTGAATAATGTATCAGGTTCTCTGCTCCATTTTTCCAATAAAGTGTTGAACAAATTGGAAGAGTGTTCAAGGGAGAGAGATTAAAGAACTGAAAACACTGGGCAGTAGAAGGCTTCATTATAAACAAAAAGCTTAAAGGGAATTTTGTTATTTTGTTCACAGTATAGGAGTATTCATACGGGGAATAAATTTGCTAACAGCGGACTCTAATCCAGCAAAGGTGGAAAATGCATTGGAACTGGAAACTAATCCAATCCAGATTGTGAACAGGCAATTTTGTTTTGCTTTTTCAGCAATGATCTGTTATAGGCAATTAACCAGTAATTAACCCTTTACACCACAGGTTGTGCTGTACTGTCCATCTCTGCAAAGTTGTGAAAATAACCATGCTTGATTTAAAAAGGATGCACACCGATGCAGCTTGGGTTATTGGGCATGAAGCCAGAGCTCCTGCAGGTGAGACCTATCGCCTGCATACAGCTGGAGGTCAGGTGAGTGCTCACAGCATCAGACAGTGCTTTGTGTTTCCATTAAGAAATACTCCCTCCCTTCTTCGGGTAGTAATCATAGCAGCCTTCCTGCTCATGGCCTACAAAACTTCTCTGGGGAAACCCCAATCTTTTGGGGCTGTGGTGCCATCTAAGTATGGGTAACACCCAACTGACTGCCTGCAGATCCTGCAGGCAGCTATCTCCAAATTCCCAGCACCTGGCTCCACATAAAACCCCACTGTGCAAAGCTCCTCACACTGAGATGCCAAGGAAACAACTTTTAGGAAGCTGACGGGTTATTATAGCTGGCACTGAGAGAGTACCTGCAACTCCTTGCTTCAGCAAATCACTTCATCTGCTGCCCGCCACTGGGATCTCGTTCCAGTAGAAGGTGACTTTAGAGAATTAGGCTGAGGGAAGGAGTCCTCCATACCTCACAGGCATTTCCTCTCCCAACTAAAGCCTTTTGGGATGAATTGATGAACTAGCTACCTTCTTCAGGGAAAAAAGTTAGTGCCTTTAAGTGGGGTGAGTGGATGTGAGCACCACTACAGCAGGCACCTCCCAGCTCTTTCAGGATATCCACGTCTTCTCCTTTCTCTTTACGCTGCCAAGGGAACTGGGTGCTGCCGAGAAATCTTTTGTCTCCTCGTCCCAAGGATGGGGTCTGACAGGTGGGCTCCTAAGGACCACACGCTCAGCGGGGAGCCCTGGCTACTGAATTTGCTTCATCCCACAGCCTGCCAATATTTAAGTTTGGTTGTTTTTAAGGATGCAGTGCAAGCTTTTGTCCGTGCTGTCTGTCTTAACATGGGCCTTTGGCCAGAAAGTATTAATCTCATCAATGTGCAGGAGTGAGGAAGGCTGGGGAGCGTTTGATTTGTGCCAGTCACTGCCATCAGCTTATTTTAAGCTTCTGGAATGAACCACTTATGACTGAGTGCTACAGTGTAAATTCTGCAAATAACACAGATAAAATAACCTCAATTACTTGAGCTCAGCATTGATTCTCATATACCACTCCAGAGATTTAGAAGGCATTATTCCACACAAACATTTAATTATATTTATGATTCTACAGATATTTTTCTGTTCAATAGGTGGGAAAAAAAAAGGGGTTTTTAAACTCTCAGTCACTTTCAGTAAGTGATGCCTGCTAAAACACAGCATACGTAGCATAGTAAATTCCCAGTGCTACAAACTTAAATGAAACATGCCATCTTAAGTAAACTATTGTAGTACAAAACTTCTGAAGAATGAACTAAAGCAAGAAAGCTTGTGAAAATTTTAGGGAAGAAAAAAGGCCTGTTCAAGTGTGGTGTGTAGATATACAGATATGTGCATGTGCATTCACACACGCACTACCACCTGGTCTCTGCTATACCTGATGTTCCTATCAATAGATCTCAAGACTCAAAACTGTGACTGGCAACTCTTTAGTCACTAAAAGAGCAAAAGTTTTGGGACAGCTGATCAAGAGCAAGGTTTCAGAGCTACTAACAAAAGATGAATCAGAGCCTGCTACAGTACAGTTTGAATTGTGCATTTGCATATCTTAATACTTTCTGTCCTCCCAGATGCATTTTCCTCCCCCTGCCTCTGGTGCAAGCCCAGCTACATCCTACAGCATTAGGATGTCCTGTTAAGCACACATGCAACTGTGTTTTTAAGCCTTGCAAAGGCTTGCTTACGTCAAAAGATATACCATTACAAAGATCACATATGCTAGACTCCACAAATTTATTTTTGCAGATGAAGTAACTGTGGTAATCTTTCTAAATGTAAATGCATAGAAATTACATAGAAGCAAACAGCTTTAAAACAGGGATTTAAAAAATCTTTTTGAAATATTACGAAATAAATCAGATGCAAGGCTTGTCCTCTTCCTCCAGACACTGAGAAAGAATTAAATGGGAGAATGTGAGACTAACCATCCCATCAGCCTTTGTAACTCACCCAGACCAGACACAGAAACGCTATGGAAGTTAATGCAATGAACCCCAGAAGTGTCACTTTCACAAATCTCAAGAGGCATCATTGACCCGAGGCTGGCTGCAGTTTCTGCCCCAATTCCAGTTTAATGTATTCCAGTTTGACCCTCAAGTGACAGTGCTGCTGGAGAACATGCTAAGAAACAAATGCAAGCAATTGCTTTGACATAATTCTTTTGGACACAGGCAGATCAAATGCACTGATGTCAACAGAGACCAGAACAGATTTTTACCCAATCTCCTTTTCTCACTGAAGGAAACAATAAGAGAAAACAAAGCACAACCCAAAACCTAGACAAACACATGCTCACCTCTCAGCAGCAAAATTAATACGTGCTGTCTAAGAAAGGGAGAACCAAGACAAATGCTTCTAATGTATAATTTGGATGTATACAGAGCATTTCACTTATAGCTTAAATTTACATGACTTGTATATGTAATTGGCCTTTTGCACATAACACGCATGAAGCATCTGTTCCATAGAGGTCATTAACATAGCGCCGCAGAAACAGCGCAATTCACTCCTTTACGGCCATGGTTCAAAAGTGTTCTCTCATCTTAAAGCAAACTGCTCTTCTTCCTTTTCTCTCATTCTTCTTAAATTTAGGGGACTGCATGGACCTGCTTTCAATATGCTTGCCAGGATGAAACCCTCTTGCCTTGCCACTCACTTAAATGCCCACGCTTTAGTAACTTTGAGGTCGCATAGTTTGATGTCAGACAACATGGAGACAACATTGATTTTTCTGCACAGGGCTGGCAAGAACAGAAGCTGGTGATATTGTTTCCAAGGGAAAGATGAATTATGGTAGGAAACCAGATCAAGGATGCCATGATGACTATCTTGAGAATAAAAGATTAAGCTAAAGATTTTGTTCTCTACATGGTCACTGTTGGTCCTGATATAACTTCTGTGAAAAAGGTAAAGAGAAAAAAACCACACATCAATGGTACAGTTTTTCAGAACTCATAAGGGAAAATACCAGGGTTGAGCGTGGCTTGTCCCTCAACTTTATACAACGAAAACAGAACAAAAAACCAGATCCCAAGCTCATTCCCTCCTCCCTTTTTTGCCTCCATTCCTAAGAAAAGCTTCCTCCTCTGCTACTCACAACTTTCCTTTTCTGCCATTCCTCCAGCTCCCCATCAGTCCATGCAGATAGATTTTTCATAATGGTATCCCACAAAAACCAGATGAGATCCTCAAGGCTTCCCTTTTCTGTGTGCCTAGTGCTTCCAAGAAGAGAAAGTCTTGTGAAGAAATGGATTCTCACTTCCCTTTTCTGCAGGTGCTCTACTACAATAAAAGTCTACATGTGCTATGTGACCATGACAAAAAGATAGACAAAAATTATAATTTTGAATGTCCATGAAAAGCATGGTCTCTGAGAGAAGAGTGATCACATCTTACAGCCCTGGAAACTACTTGATCTAGAATTTGAGCCACTCCTACACAAAGGAAAAACAGACTTTTGTCTTTCATCTACCACCCTCCACGTGAACTGCTCCCAGAATGTGGCCACAAAGTGTGATCCACAGTTTGGCTTATCATCAGAGGCTGCAGGACCTTTTCAGCTATGTTGAGACCTGTGTAAATGTTGTGATTTTCAGGGAATAAGGATTTTAAGACCACCAGTTATCAGGAATTATCAAACACTTTGGTCCCTGGAGCATATGGTGTCCTGCTCCTTGCATAACCATCCAGGAAGAAAACTTGGGAATCACTGCTCTAGAGATTCAAAGGACAAAGGCTCATCAAAAATACAACTGAACGTCCTAACGAATTCCTTTATTTTTTCATGCTGTCATGTTATATTTTTTAAAGCATTTGTCAAGATGCAAAAGTATGGTTGAAACATTTTTCTAATACTAGGAATGAGAAGAAGGCTTTAACCAAAATAAAAGTTTGCTATCTACCTTGACTCCTGTAAGGTCTTTGACACAGTCCCATACAACATCTTTGTCTCTAAATTGGAGAGATATGGATTTGACGGATGAACTATTCAATGGATAAGGAATTGGCTGGATGGCCACATCCAAAGAGTGGCAGTCAATGGCTCAATGTCCAGATGGAGGTCAGCAACAAGTGGTGTCCCTCAGGGGTCTATTGGGATCAGTACTGTTCAATATATTTATTAATTACAGACCATGGGATTGAGTGCACCCTCCACAAATCTGCAGATGACGTGAAGCTGATATACTTGAGGGAAAGGATACCATCCAGAGAGATTTTGACAGGCTTGAGAAGTGGGCCCCAGTGAACCTCATGAAGCTCAACAAGACCAAGTGCAAAGTCCTGCTCCTAGGTTGTGGCAATCACCAGTATCTATATAGACTGGACAATGATGGGATTCAGAGCAGCCCTGGCCGAGAAGGACTTGGGGACAATGGTGGATGAAAAACTGGACATGAGCCGGCAATGTACACTTGCCATCCAGA